GCTCACCCCCACGTGTGTCTGCGCTGCGTGACCAGCACCACCAGCATCTCTGCTCAGAGGCTACAAGTAACCCTTCTCTGGGCGGACGGACAGACGGGCAGACGGACGGACGGGCGGCCTGCCCGCCGGTGCCCCTGTCCCCGCTGATAGGCCAGCACGTGCTCAGACAGCTGCTGGGCAAGGGCCAGCCCTCCACCGACGCCCCTGGGGCAGCATCGGGTTTGAAACGTGTATTTGGCGTGTTTGGCGCTTGGCAGGAGGCCAGCCGCGGAGGAGGCCTGGCACGTGGAGGGACGTCACTCCAGGCAGGAACACCCGCAGGGCGCCACCTCCTGGGGGCCCTGGGGGAGGGGGGACGCCCTCACTGACACCACACCAGGGGAAGAATTCCCACAAGATCCTGGACAGCGTGGGGCCGGGGGCCGGGGGGGATGTGGTAGACCCGGGCATGTTTATGCAGCTCTGGTCCACGAATATTCTGTGTCTGAGTCCAAAAGGCACAAGTGCGCCCGGCGTGGCTCAGTGGCTGAGCACCGACCTATGAACCAGAAGGTCAGGGTTCGATTCCTGGTCAGGGCACAGGCTCGTGTTGCAGGCTCGATCCCCAGTGGGGGGCGTGCAGGAGGCAGCCGATCCATGATTCTCTCTCATCATTGGTGTTTCTATCCCTCTCTCCCTCTCCCTACCTCTCTGAAATCAATAAAAATATATTTTTTACCATAAAGAATTATATTTAAAAATGTATTAAGATAAAAAAAAATTAACAATAGCCCTGGCCGGTTTGGCTTAGTGGATGGAGCGTCGGCCTGCGGACTGAAGGGTCCCAGGTTCAATTCCTGTCAAGGGCATGTACCTTGGTTGCGGGCACGTACCCAGTGGGGAGTGTGCAGGAGGCAGCTGATCGATGTTTCTCTCTCATGGATGTTTCTAACTCTATCCCTCTCCCTTCCTCTCTGTAAAAAATCAATAAAATATATTTTTTAAAAATTTAACAGTAGAAAAAGAAATACATACATACATAAATAGGGAATTTTTTTGAAAAGGCACAAGTGCCAGCAGACCCCGCCCCGCGACGCCAGGGACCACACCCGCTCAGGTAAGAGGTGTATTTCAAAGTGGGGACGGTCGTATGTTACAAAAGTCACTGAATCTCCAACTAAATAAATACTCCGGCGTCTCCCTCAGAGGCGCAGGCTCTCCTTCTCCAGGTCCGCAGCCGCACTCGGCGTCCTGCCGGCCAACAGCAGGGACAGCGACTTCCTGGGCTCTTGCCGGTTCCTCCTCTCCTCCAGCAGGGCGACCATGTTCTGGGTGGACAGGACAGGCGGTGTGACCGGGGTGGTGGCACGCGTACAGAGGGGGGAGGGGGCGCGCGGCGGAGGGCACCCACCTGCCGGTCGAACACCCTGGCCATGTCCAGGATGCCTTTGCCAAACTGGAGGGAAACGACAGGGTGAGGCTGAGCGCGCTCGCTCCCCGGGGAAGGCCTGAGCGCGCGGTTTACCTCGTTTCTCACATTTGCGTCGGCCCCTTTGTCCAGCAGCAGCTGGACCAACTCCTCGTGATTGTTCAGCACGGCCACCTGGGACAGAGACAGACACGCTGGGGTGAGCGGGCGCCTTGCACCCCGCAGCGAGGGGGTCCCGGCTGTGGGTGAACCCGGGAAAGCCACTGCGGCGAGGACTGCGAGGGACACGGACGTGGACCCCGCCTTTCTCCACACGGAGGTGACATCCCTGTATTGACAGATCTGTTTGGATCCTACAATGGCCTGGGGACCAGGGAAAGCAATTCTTAAAGAAAGAGTTGTGGTCCGGCCAGCTTGGCTCCATGGCTGAGCATCGGCCCATGAACCAGGTCACGGTTCGATTCCTGGTCAGGGCACAGGCCCAGGTTGCGGGCTCGGTCCCCAGTGGGGGGCGTGCAGGAGGCAGCCGATCCATGATTCTCTCTCTCATTGATGTTTCTATCTCTCTCTCCCTCCCTCTTCCTCTCTGAAATCAATAAAAATTATTTTTAAAAATAAAGGAACAGTACACACACCTATTTATACAATCATTACCCAGATCAAAATATGTTTATGAGAGCAATAAGATGTACCTATATAGAACTTTATAGTTTATAAAGCACGATCAGCTTATATTACTTAATTGTGCTGATACATCTCTCA